TCCGTCTTTCCTTCCGTCTTTCCTTCCGTCTTTCCTTCCGTCTTTCCACTTCTGCATTTATTTGAAAATTGAAAGTAGTAGGGGTGGTTAAACTGGGGCAAGATCTGGAATTTCTTGAAAAAATCTGAGTCGTGTAGATTAAAACTTCTGTTAATGCAGATATTGCTCTGTGCTGTCTCCTTCTTAGGTGTACTGCAGACAACAACCATTCCTATCTTATTTTCAGTAGTCATGCCCATGTCTTAGTTGGCAATACTAGGAACACCCTTTGTCATTTTCCCCAGAGAGAAAAACAGCCTGAAATACCCCCTAAAGGGGGTTCTCGAGCCCAGGGTTGAGATGTACTGGTTGGACAATATGCTGATGACCATGAAATGAACTGCTGTGGTTCATACCTGTCCTGTAGCTAAAAGACTTCAGGCTCTGACATTGTCTGGCAGCTGTTAGGAGTAGTAATTAATGGGAAGGGACTGACTCTTCCTCCCTGCTTTCACACACAGTACAGAGGTTGAAGTAATTTTTGTCCATTGTGAGGGTGTGTTTGCAAATGGGTTTGCTGTTTTAGTATGATAAATTAAAATCAAACATTAGCAGGATTTAGTAGTATTTGGAAGTTTTATGAAATTGGCAACTTCTCTTGAATGTTTGAGGGACTGTACAATGCTTTACTGACTGACACAGAGGATTGGATTAGTGTTTCAGCCTTGTGCAAGTGGTTGCAGGCTGCTTTTCACCAAGTCTCTTACCCCATGGAGAGAGCGAGTGAGCCCTTCAGTCTGGTAAACAGCTGCATGGTATTACAGGGATGCATACCACATATTCCTCAGCTTCCAAATGCCTGTGCACCAAATCTGTTCCAGCACGTGACTGGGATGTGTAATTTCTAGTAGTGAATTTGTCAGTTTTCTCAAGAAAGCAGAAAAGAAATGTAATTACTTGTTTTTATGTATGCTTTTGAAACATTACTTAGTTAAACCTTACCTACTTGTTCATCTCGCTTGATGTTTTTAGCAAGGACCCTCAGACTTCTTCCTCCACTTGCAATCTACTTCTATCAAGCAAAATAAGAAAGAGAATGTTTCCTGTGAGAGTCAATCAACAATTAAGGTGTTCACGTGAATAATAGAATCTACAAAGAAATATTTTATGTGTATATTGGATTCGCATCCACATGCACATGGACATAAACACTGTTTGTAATATGAAGGCAATCACATTTGGTTTTGAGATTTCCAAATGAGTGATACTTCTTTGCTGAAATAAGCATTTGAATTAAGCAGCCAGCTTGCATGAGCACTTTTACTTTTTTAGTTTCCATTAAAGTCAAAGGCTTGTAGAGCCCATTAGGAGTTTAGGTAACTCTTGACAATAGTCATAGAAGAACAAAGTGGCCCAGATATACTCTTTACGTACAGAAATACTTGAGGTATCATTTTTTTTCTTGAATGGCAGCATGCGTGTGTAGGATTCTGCTGAATTATCAAGCCACGTAGTGTATCACTGTGCTTGAGACAGGAATGTCCTCTGCTATGTTCTCTCTGTATCCTGCTTGCTTATTGTGCATGTAATACAAAGGTCATCCAGCAAAGCCTTGTGCTGCCCTGCTCCCTCAAGAAAGATGTGGCTTCTGGCATTGATGTGATTCATGGGGGAAGAGTCATACCATCCAAGATTAGGCAAACTGATTTCCTCAGACTCCCTCTACGCTGTGCAGGGAGAAGTGAGCTCAAAGAAAAAGCTGAATTTCAAATCATTCCTGAATACATTGCAGCCAGTTTTTTTTCTTTCCCCTAATACAGTGTTCTCTGACTTTGGCATCTCTTGGGGAGGGGAAATGGGGCAAGACTGCAAATGAGTCACCACCAAAAACCTTCATACTTGTCAGACTGTGTGATTAGTCTTGTAATCAATCTCCTAGATGATCTCTGATCCTGAAGCCAGGGTGTGTGTTTGTTTCTTTGACTGAAGAATTTTTGATAAGCATGATGTGAAGAGATGCAAATGTGGTGGAGTGACAGATTAAGTTATGATGTTGCTAACAATGTTGTCTTGAATAGATTTAAGCAGAACAGGCAGAGACTTAGATGTGACATAAATTGAGAATGACAGAAGAGTGTGGACCAGAATATGTTTTTCCTGGAGTGGTCAGTTTACTGCTTGCTGGTTATATCTAATTTACTAAAATAGTTAGTGTGGTTTGTGGTCCACTCTCTATTATCCCTTTTGTTTGGATCCCATAGCCCTTCGTCAAGCTGTTAAAAGTGTGTCCGTCGTTTGAGTGAAATGTGAGTATCCTGTTGGATATGACAGGGCATGTGTGTGGAAAGTGATGCAGTAACTCTGGTCAAGACCAACCAGCTCTTCTGCTTTCAGTAAAATTGGAAAAAATATGTATGCAACTCAGAATTGGCTAGAGACAGGCAGAAGTGAAACACATATGTCCAGATTAGGGGCTCAAGTCCCTAGGAAAGTAATGTGCAAAACCTTACTGCAGGTCTAAGATTTGATATTGTAGTTTTCTATATGCATGGGCCTGGGGAAGTGGCAGTGCTTCTTCAAGGTCTGTATACTAATTTCATTTCTTTCTGTGTCTGGTATTGAATTTTTATGTCCCTGAAATTTTGCCTGATATTTTAAGATGATAATTTTTTTCCTGATGTGATTTATATTTGGACTGACAATTCTCAAATAAAATATTCTGTGGAGCCCTTCTAGTCTTTTGTGTTGTTCATGTAGTCATATATCATGGAGCTCATAACTTGTTTGTTTGTTTAGTGATTCTCATTCTAATTTTGCTTGGGGCTATTCTTAATGAATGGAAAGCAAATATCAGAATAGAGCAAAGGGTAAAGATCTGATGACAACCTGTGGAGTTGTATTACGTTCTGTTAATAATAGACACATAGGACTTAGTCTAGGAAAATTTATACTATAATCCAGCAATATAACCAAATCATAATTCATTGGTATATAAAAAGCTCCTCTTGGTTAAAACTGGTTAAAAGTAGAATTAACTTGATTCATTTTGCTGGAGACCCTTTAAGTATCCTTGACACTTGCCATAAGATTAGGCCTACAAAATTTTAGGGGTAAATAAGAGTAAAAGACCCAGACAGCTGATAAGAATAAGTCTATTTTGACATTGAGAGGGGATTGGAACTAAGTGATCTTTAAGGTACTTTCCAACCCAAGCCATTTTATGACGGTGTGACATAACTCTAAGTGCCTGAATGTCAGAAAATTAACATAAATTATTAGGTAGCTCTTGAATTTTTATGTGTTTGTGTTATAGTGTGTGTGTGCTGACCTGATTTTTTAATTTGTTTTCCCTGGAGAATGTCCCGTTGACTTGTTTTCATGGCTTGCACTTAACACTCTTTTGATTGCTACTTTATAAATAGTTCCAGCTAAATATATTTTAATGTATCCAGGTGAAAACCACATATTTATGTCGTGCTTCCTTGCAGGGGCTGGTGTCTTTTTCCTCTCTTGCGCTGAAGGAGAGCAGATCAGCTTTCTGTTCGACTGCATCGTCCGTGGCATCTCCCCGACGAAAGGCCCCTTTGGTTTGCGTCCAGTCCTACCAGGTTAATATAGGAAGTATAAAGTAACCGAGCGGAGTAGGAACTTGCCATGTCTCGCACTTGCTGCTGCGATTGTAAGAACAGCTTGCAGGGGCTGAGGGTGTGGAGAGTGCAAAGTGGTTTTCATTCTGAAATGTCACAGTACAGATTTATAAGCTGAATGTACCCAGTTTCCCCCTGCTGGTCCGGCTCATTCATATTTCTGGTGATATTGCTAACTTTAGCCCTCTCCTATTTAACAGTACTGAAAGATGGCAATTTGAATTGAAAGGAACACTAATCTTTAGTTTTAAACTTACACATTTAACCTGGATCCATGTCTGCATTGTTATTTTGATAGTTTAATGGAAAACTAACTTCTGGAGCATTTTGAGTTCATTTGAAACACTAAGTCTTGTCAACCTTGGAAAACTTTGTCAGGCCTCCACATCACATTTCAGTTTTGCAGCTTGAGCTTTTTTTCTGATGTCCGAGAATTAAATTCCTTTCCCATTTCACTGTAGATGCTGTGTGCACTGTAATGTTCAGAGAGGAAATTGAATGGCATCGTAGTAAGCCCTATTGCCTTTTGATTTCAGCAGATGGAATACAATATTGAGTCAGAATTACTGTGTCAAATAGGACAAAAGTGTAGAAATGCAATTGCAGAAAAGTATCTGTGACTTGGTGGTGGAATACAGTGGGAAAAGGCTGCAAGAATGGTGGGATTTTTGGAAAATACTTAGAGTTTCTGTTTATGTGTTAGGCAGTTAATAAGTGTTTGACAGGGTTTTATTGCTGTTGTAAGATTAAGATAATTGCAGCAAGGAAATGTGATGGAGCAGATTAGATCTGGATCTGAAGCTTGTGAAAATAAATTATGAAAAGTTAGTTAACATAAATGCAGTAAACACAAGGCTCAGTTCATGTCTTCTTTCTCATAGTTGTAAGACTGAAGTAAATTAAATAATCAAGGAGAGCAGTGGACAGAAAAATCATTCTTGTATGATGGTATGTGTTTGCATTCAATTAAGTGTAGTGTTCAAAAAAAAGGAAACAGCAAAACCAACAGAAACACAAAAGTCAGTGTTGATACTTAAAGCTTTGTTATTGAATACATTTCTATACGTCTAAACCTCTATTACATAGATACAACTCCTAAATCTTTCATTTAACAAAAGATTTTGTCCAGAAAAATTAAGCCTGCAAGCAACTATTCTGTTGTCCTTTTTTTAATTTTTTTTTTTTAAATTTAAATTTTAGATGGCTCAGTCTTTGACGAATCATTTTTTAGAAGCACGTAGGAATGAATCTGCTTTCACATCTTTATTTATCAGTTCTGGTGTTTGTAGGTTGTTGTGCACAGCCACATACCACATTCCCTTCCCTCCTTCAAGAGTTCTGACCTCACTTAAGTGCATAAAGTGGATGTGGAACATCCTGGGGATGATTTGGTTTTTTATAAGAAAAGACCTCTTTTCTGAGGTCTTTTAATTTCTCTTCTGTGCTTGATGGACTTGCCACTGGAATGAGGTGAAGAGATACTTGGCCACTTGATTTCCTCTTGTTTCCCCAGAGAGAAGTGTTTTGTAGGGAATTGTGCTCCTCTTTTTTCAGACTCCTCTGCCTTTTTCCAAGCTACCTTGACCCCTTTAACTTTCATTCCTGTTTACTTTACCCTTGTCTCTTCTGGTTTGTTGTCACTCCCTATGTACATATTCATAGAAAAAAATTATTTTTTATATTCTCCTTCATTTATTTTTCCATGCAGAAGCTTGCACAGATCTAAGACACATGCACATGTACTATACTAGTGATTCATCCATAAACTAGTTTTCCTTATCGAGTATGTTGTTACACAGAATGTACTGTATTGCTTGAAAAGGTCACGTCTACCAGCTGCATACTGTCTCTCTCAAGTATTGAAATTCACCCAACCTTTTGAAAGGATTAGCAATTAAATGGATTAATTATCTGTACACGTCACGTAATTAGATCAAGACTTCCAGATTAGGGATTCTACTAGGACAGATCTAGTCAATGTTATTCATATTTACTGCAGTGCAGAATGCTACACACCCTCAACTGCACTCTATGTATGTAGTGTTCTGCTTTTGTGTAGTTTAAAAGCTTTTAGAGAAAACAACCTCCTCTTCACAATTTGTTGTTTGAATTTGGCTTCTTGCCGCTGTCCAACTTAAACATGAGGTATACTTGAAGCACTCTGGTATTTTCAGGCAAGGAAAACACACAAAGGGCAGATGCACAGAGAAGAACGTAATATGGTAAAAAAAGTCACACTGACTTTGTTGGACACCAATGCCTGCAAGGCAAGTATAATCTATAGATGTTAAAGCAGTCAACATCTTTGTAGTCTGTCCTTGTAAAAAAGAGTAATGAGTGAAGCCAGTTGCTTCGTGTACAAGCAGCTCAACCATATGGTTAAAAAGAGTGCTGAAATATTTATGTGTTAGCATGAAATTAATAGGAAGTGGTAGAGACCGATTTGAAGAGGATGGAAAATGATCAGTTTCCTTACTTGCCATAGTGATTCTTTAAACAAATGTAGAATACCAATATCCAAATGGAGTTTGTAAACTGCCTGTGCAAGGGATACTTGCTCACGGGCAATATTCTTGTCTTCTTTTTGGGATTTTAGTTTTAAAAAGTATACCTTATTTCCATAGAAGCACGGTGTTCTTATCACACAAATATATGATTGCTGTATGTATTTTATTATGTAATCTATAAAATATGTGATGAAAATCAAGTGCTGTGGAACTCATAAACTTGACTGAACATTGCAAAGTGTCACAACCTGGTCTAATCTCTCACTGTGGACCCTGCTTTGAGCAGCAGGTTATACTAGAGAACTCCTGAGGTCCCCTCCAAACTGAATTATTCTGTGATATTTTGGAAATGGGTATCAAATTACTATTCTCATGGTAAAAAATAACTCTGTGTACATCCAAAATAGAATGGAAAAGGAAAAGAACATTAGATGTTTTACACTTTATTACTGGTGGTACTTACTTTGGGAGTCCATTAATTCTTCAGAATTGTACCAGAATAGTCCTATTGATAGCTCCATTAGCAGATTGGAGATTTTGGTTTATTAAAAGCTGTATGATGAGGTCTCATTAAAAAAAACTGAAGACATATGGCATTGAGTGGGAATGTGAAGGTAGTGTAGGTAGTGTAGGTATAAGTATCTGTAAATGTTTTTAGGCAGTGTAACATTTTAAATAAAGGACTCAAATGAGTGATGTGATATCTTTGTATGGCTTGTTTTCCTCAGCTACTAGGTGGAAGATAACTGCTATACTTGGCTACTAGAATGGTCTCTTTTTTTTTCTTTTTTTTTTTTAGCTTGAAAGGATATTTAGAAAACAGACCAGAGAATTTTACATTCTATCTTGACAGAAGTCTAGATATTGACTTAGTAATGAATCACTGACTGCATGATTTGTAATCTGTGCTGAATTTGCATGCGTGTTATTTGAGAAATGTTTGTTTATCTGGGGTGTGTTGAATTCCTTCTTTTCACTAGCAAGATTCATGTTGCGTGCCAAACCTGAACACAGCAAAGGCCCAAAGATATCAGTGGGCAGATCAGTACTCTCTAAATCTGACTATGTGGCAGTCTAGTCCTGGAATCTGAAGGACCCCAGGTGTAATGTGGATAGTCTTGATGCTCTTTTTTAATTTGGGAAGTTTTTTCAGGCTGCTTTGGGACTGATTAGAAGTGTACAGTGCTGCTTGCTGAGGTTCTATCTGATGCTCTTTCTTTTTGTTGAAGCTTGATATACCTTTGGCCATTGCGAGACAGCTCTGTGGCTGCCTTCTGCAGTATCTGTACCAAGTGGATCCTCCTCAAACTTTTAGGACATCTTTTCATTCCTCCAGGCATCTTACAAGGTGTGGAGATGTTAGCAAGAAGGTGAGGGTCCAGGCCTGGTTTACAAATGCGCCTACAGTTACACAGGAAGAAAGAAAGGAGAGATTTTTAGCCTAACTTAGCTAATTTTGTTTAATGAAGTAATTAATGTTGCATTTTAAAGATGCATATAATCAATTAGGTAGCTGCTGACTTGACTGGATACAATACATTTTTTCCTGACAGGTGCTTATTGAACAACCCTGGAGCTTTGAATTACTGTGACACTTTATTCGTGTGTTACCAAAGTATTCAAAATCTCCCACGATGAGCAGCTGATGTGGCTTTAATGAATACCCACCAACGTAATATAAAAATAAAATCTCCATCAGAGGCATTTTTAGTCCAGCTAAATTTGATGTAATCCTTCCCCTTTGCCCTAAAAGATCATTTAAGAAGATTTCAATGACTGCCTCATACAAAAGAATTTTTCCTCGTAGCAAGGGATCCATTTTTATTTGGAAAATCATAAAAAATTGTATTAATTGGGGGACCTGAGTGAATCTAACCACCTAAATTTCACGGGAGTAAATCAGGTGACAGGATACATTTGTTAGGAACTTGGGAAACGAAGGTACTAATTGCTCTTAGAGTTGTTGGAGCTACTGTCGGATATTGTGTGGGCAGAGGCTGAGTGAACTTCCTTGGACAGCTGTCCCAGTACTGGTCATGCTGCTTCTGTCCTCCTGAGTTTCTAATATGGTAAATTGCCATTCATTTATTTAGAGGTTGTGTATTGTGCATGCACAAGGTATAGGATGATGCCAACAAATCCAACTTTGCTGTTGAAAAAACCTTTCTTTTTATAAGTTTTAAGCCATAATTCTACAGTCACATGACAGGAGGTCATAGGTTATACACTCCAGTGTATAGGACTGCTCCCTAAAAAGTGGCTACCAGTGACTTCAGTCCATAGTCTGATCTTGTAGCAAGAGCTCCTGATTAGAGCTTGGAAGTCTGTAACCAAAAATACTGGTATAAGAATCTGCTGCTTCTGGGGAATAGTAGTATCTGTGTTTTCCACAGAAGTCTGGCTTACTGGCAGAGAAGATTAAAGGCAAAACAAAGACTTAGGTAAGACAGATAGACAATTATTTTTAATAATATACAGACTTAGAGTCTGTATATGTTTGGCAGGTTTTGGAGCTATTTCTCTGGATATTTCCTAATACTTGCTGAGAAAGGTTCTTCTACTCAATCTTCCACAAAACTGGGCAATGAGAGGTCGCAGTACATAAGTATGAACCAGGTTTTATACACACCTTTCATACGTAGGCAATCCTTAGGGGGAAGTTTAACCAAAAAATTATCAGCCCTGTTGGACATACAGTATGCCTTTGGATTTCATGTTTTGTGTTCTGTGGCTGTGTAGCTTATAGGGAGTTGAGCTTGTGGAAGTAATTGAACATGTGAAGTGCAAACTTACTGACTTCAACTTCCCTCCTACCTCCTCATCTTATATTGGCCAATTTTTAAAAATTATATCTTAAAATTGTATCTTTTGCTGTCTGTAAGAGGGATACCAGTTACTAAAAAACTATTTGTTGTGTATGTGCCCTAGTAATGTTCTGAAAATCTGTACTTGTCAAACAATCATTCTCTGAGGAAAGTGAAAGGACCTTTCCTACTGACAGTTCTTTGCTGTGGGAAGGGTTAGTGTCTATTGCATCTTGGTTTAAATAATTTGCTGATCTGTTATGCCAACTTTATACTCAAAGTGCTCTTAGAACATCTGTGTTGAACCTTTTTTGGACATAAGGGCATTTAATAGATACAGCAGAGTAACCAGAGGACATTAAAAGATAGTCTCAAGAAGCTGTTTGTAACACTGTATGCTACTGAACAGAGCCTTGCATAGACCTGTCTGGGTTGCACCATAGGTGCTGATGGCCAGATACTGTGTTTTCCTTTGGCAGAGATCCATATGGAAGCATTGGGGGTTTTGTTTGAATAAGCAGTTACACAGGTTTGAACTAGTCAATGCTCAACACGAGTTGTCTTGAAGTGTAAATAGGAATAGAGACCTAACAAAATAATCCCCATCAAGCAGTCCTATTTTCTATTCTTAAGTTTGGAAGGTGTCAAGCACTGTTTGAGCTGGGAGACACAGAGGTCACAGACTCTGTTTGTCATGGGCATTATTGCCTTGTCCCTGGTAGAACACCTATGGTGTCCAATGTATGTTGTTACAGATAGACTGTGTGTGTCTTGCTTTTTCTGCTAATCTTATCCAGATTGCAGACTTTCCTCTACATGGGAAAGAAAGTTAGAAGTTCCAGCATTGTTACTTCTGTTCCTGTGATGCGCTCGGATCTACCCAGGGCAGGTCAGAAAGTGAATATGATGAGGGACGAGAGATGTGGCAGCTTCTTTCTCAGAGTAGTTAAAAATGTAGGGAGCTCCCATGGAGCTTCAGCTCATCTGGCAGTGCTCCTTCCCCTGATTGTGAGTTTGCTTTGACTGCTGTGTTGACAACATCAAACCCAAGTCTTTTAAAATTAAAATACCTAGGATGATAATGAATCTTTTCTTTCATCAATACAACCGGTTTTTGTCTTACTAACTCAACCACAGCAATGTATAGCATTTTTCATCCTTTTTTTTGACTCATTAAATGTTTCAATGTTTTTGTGGTGTGCTAGTACTACCCAGTTGATCAGATATACAAGAACAGCAGTTGTGAGTAAGCTAATCTATTTTATCTGTCTATAATTACTTTCCCTATGTATTAATAAGAACTACTGAAACTTCTGATGTTGAACAAGTTAGCAGACCATAGCCTTTGCAACTGCTGAACATGGCACACTTGTCAGTGCTATTTGAAAGAATCCATAAGGTTTCTCTTGGGATAATGGTTATGATAACTTCCAGCATCTGGTTTTATTGTTGTGCCTGGCTGGAAACAAATGATTTGAAGGAAATTGGCCTGTTTCACTGATGAAACTTAGTCCACATTCTGTGTAACTTTTGATCTTTCTTTTTTTTATTGGAATACAATGAGCCTACTTCAGTGAGATAATTTCAGCTAGAATGGCAAAGTCGCTAAAATGTATGGGGAAAATCCCTGATAGTACATTTTAGAAGTGGTTTATATTATTCTAACTTGTCTTTTATTAAATATGAAGACAGAGAGCCAAAAGGTTGCTTATTTTATCTCTGACTTGTGATCTTAATGACCTTCTGAACATCAAACTTAAAAGTGAAGTCATTATAAATAGATGATCTGGATTGGAAGGTGTCAGATTAATCACTATGACTGACTTTATGATGTGGCTTTGTAAATTTATAGAATAAAAAATTTGGTCTTTCTCGATGTTAAAATTCCCAGTGAGTTCAGTGAATTCAGGACACATTTTACAGGTCAATTTAGCTTTCAAGTCCTCTAGACCTGGTGGATGCTAATTATTTCTGTAGTTATTGCCTTTGGTGCTGTGTTCTTCAATGTTCTTCCTTGTTGGTAACAGGGTTATACACATTGGGTAGAACCTCTGAAAATCTTTGACACTTATAATTTTAAGTTAGTGTGTAGCACATCTCCAGGATGTGCTGAAAGCAGATTGCCCCATACATTTTTCCAATCAGCATTTCAAACATAAGAATATCTGACATAAAAATGTCTTTTTTCTTTCCTTTTTTTTAATATATTTTCCATGTTTCTTCCTTTATTTGTTGTTTATTTATTTTCTGTTTCCTTTTTAAAGATCCAAGTACAAATCCAGCCTATTCAGAAGAAAGATTGGCTCATGAAGCTTTGCAATTAGAAAAGCGCTTGAGCTTGCTGTCTCATACAAGTCGCCAAGGCAGTGGAGGTAAGAAATATCTTTAATTAAACAAAAATAAATATCTTCCTTCCTTCTCAGGCTTAAGAAGTGAGCATAATTATAGTATGTGTAACTTACAAGAAAAACAGAGAAATGGTCAAGACATTTGATTACCTGTAAAAGTGCTCTTTTTGCAAGTATCACTGAGGAAAAAAAATTCTCGCAATATAAGCATAAATTAATTACAGAAGATCTTTTTGTATATAGATTATATAGATTATATATTCCCATTTTTATTTGTACAGTTAGGTATGTTTGTATTTTGGTACAGTAACCTGATTAACTATGGAAGTAAAGTATGTTTGAAAAGGGGAGAACTTGGTGCATAAACCTTAAAAATCTAGCTTCAAATGCATTATGTCCCACAATGTGGTAGGGTTATGGCAAGGTAACATACTACTGCATTTTATTTTTCCTGTGGGGATACAAATTATTGCAGGAATTCTGGCTTTCCTGACAGCAGTTCTGCTTACAAAAAGCAGATGGAATCTCGGGGTCCTTCCTGTTTGTACATACTTGCTATGCTTCAGTCTCTTGATTGTGTTTTAAATGTAGATTGATGTGTTTTCTTCTTTTGTAGGAGATGACAGAAGTCTTTCAAGCTCGTCTTCAGACACCAGCCACTCGGATGTCAGTGTTGGGAGCAGGTTGACAGTTTGGCCTGAGCAGTCTTCAGCCAGCACCTCTCAAGAGAGCCATGGACTGGCAGCTGCCAAGGGCATTCATCTTGGGGAAGAGAAGACCCTTCCAGAAGGGGCACGTGGCACCACCAAACCACCTCCGAAGCCTCTCCGATCCAGGCAGCTGCAGGAAATAGGTCGTCAGAGTTCTTCAGACAGTGGAATAGCTACTGGTAGTCACTCTTCCTACTCTGGAAGCTTCTCTTCCTATGCTGGGAGCTTGGACATTTGCCACGGTGATGAGTTTGGATCATTGCTAAGCTTGCCATTGAACTTTCCATCAGATCAGAGTTTATGTACTTGTCCTCACAGCGAGTCCCAGAGAGGTGTGGGATCAGAGTATCAGGTTCCCAGCTCTCTCAGACATATTTATGATATACCCAGGAGCGTGTTACAGGCAGCTTCTAAAGATGTGCAACAGAAGAGTGCAGACTCTACGCTACCCAAGGACCAGGCCCTGCCACCTCAAGGTGTTAGTGACCCAAAACTGAGGCTACCACACTTGGAAGCACGGAGGGCACCTGAGCACAGCCAGGACAGAGGGAGGCCTTTATCCTTACTCGCAGAAAGCAGCAAGGACTCAAGTGATGAGACATATGTGGATTTTGTTTCAAGGTGGTCAGACACAAAACCACAAGGACAGGTGTCAGACTCCAAAAGTAGTGAGTTGTCACCACCTGGTGGGGCCTCAGCTGACCCCTGTGACACATGTAGCCCCCACCTTGGGATGACAAGAGCTCTTTTTTCAGCTTGTCCAATCTGTGGTGGACTAAAGGTAAATACCTAAGACTGAGCAGATGCTAACAAACCTTAGTTAATATAGCATGATTAATTTAAAATTACTTAAGTTGTAGGTCATAAGTAATATTGTTTCCTTTATAATTTAAATAGGTAATAACTTCTTTGTGTTGTTCATGGTCAAATGGAGAGGCTTAGCACATGGTTTCCTCAAAATCTGGACCTGGTCAAGGAAACACTGAACAGTATAGGCCACCAATTGTTATTTTTAAATTGGCCAATTTTGGCTGTGGGTATATGTGAGTGAAAGAGAGAGAAGTTTTGCAGCCACTGAATTTGTCATATAATAGCAAGCAAGCACGAAGGACCTTGATCTGTCTTGCTCCTGGTATTTACGAAGAAGAAAGAAAGGAGGTCAAATAGTATGTGCTGCTCTTAAGGTGACCAGAGTGCATATTTTTTTTTCATTGAGGTTTTTCTTTTCTTTATCACTGTAGTTTGAACATTGGACAAGAAGCCAGATTAGCCAAGTTTCTCACTAGAGAAATACAAGATGGTCAATCCATAGCAGATCAACTAATCCAGTATTGTAATTGGCCAATGACAGATATTTTAGAGGAGGGACACAAAAGCTCATTAGCAGTCTATGACCAGGACAGCTTATTTGCAGGAAAAATTATTTTTATCACCAGTCACATGAAGACTTAAAACCTAAGCTGTGGAGATTCATATGCCTTTATAACCACATTTGCCAGTATCTGTGACTTTGATATTGTTAAAAATTCTTTTTGAACCCTGCTACATTCTTGTCTTTTTATGGCAGTAAGCATTATGCATCCATTATACATTGCATGAAGAAAATATTTCTGTTTTTATCCATTCTGGAGAAGACTTTTTTTTTTGTGAATGTGCTTGCTAAACTAGAATTGGGTAAAGCTGCTTGTATTAGTGAGCTGTTGAAAGGCTGTGAAGGTTAGAGAGAGTGCTCAAATTAGAGAATGTGTGAGGCAAGGATTCAGGAAGAGAGACTTTTCCTTGAGGAATTAAATGTTGCCATTGAAGTGTGTGCATTTAATTAAGCATGTGAGATTACATAAATCACTGCTGTGAAAAGGGCTTGAATGTATAGTAGATGATGAAAGAAAAATTAAAAGGCTATACATTTGAGGGATTATTTTCTTCTCATGAGGTGTTTCATGCATTTGCATCATTGACTGCCTTGATTTCTAGATGGGCTCTGGGCTGGGATCAGAAAGCTCAAAGGTGTCTTTGTTATGGTCAGCGAGGAAAGAATTAGATAAGGCACAATTAGCTCACATGGTCTAAATGTTTGTGGGTGATCCGAATTGTTGGTTTAGACATGAATTTATCAAATCTTACACTGGATATTTGTGGAAGACGGGAAGCTGAAAGGCAATATTCCATTGTATATCTTCAAAACCGCTAAAAGCTAAATTATGTCACTACTTCTTTCACTGCCTGTTGACCCCAACAAGATAGGTACTCACGTCTTTTATTGCAAAGTGATGTCGGGTTTCACAGTGTTTCTAGCTGCCCTAATGATATAAGTTGGCAAGAATTTCAGGTATTGTCAATATTTAAACAAATTTAGTGATAAACACTGCTGCAACCCTCTTACTAACTTTTGTTTTAGCATGAGATATGCACATCTGCTATTTTTTGTTTTAAATACCTATTTATAAGCAGTCAGGAAAGAAGTCTCATTAAATGGAATGGTTCATGGGTTTGTTTTTACTTTTGAAAGAAAAAATAACCTTTTGATACATTCTCCTGAACTGTCAGGAGAAGTTATTTTAGCAGCATGTAATGGACACTGTCTTTGGCCTTTCTCGTGATAAACACAGTGAAAGCACAAATCCATATGCTGTAACTAGAAAATAATTCTTATTCCTTGTGCTCTGAACAAGATATGTTTAAGATGCAGTTAGGGCCAGGAGAAGTTGATTTATGGATTAATGAAGATACCAGGTTTTCACATTCATTCAAATTCATGTTCAAAAAGCTTTAGTGTGCCAGTGTTTGGAGTTCCTTTGCAATTTCAAGTTAAGCTGTTAATTAAATTGTGTTAATGGCTTTTAAATGCCTGCTATGTAAAGTGAGTAAGTGACCTGAATAGAGGAAAGTCTACAGCAGTAGTTAAGGATAATTAAGGATACATTTGTTTGTTTTCTGCTCTGTATGTAAACTTTGGCAAATGGAGGTTAGGTTTGGGCATGCTGTGTGTGCACGTTGGAGTTCAGCATGTGAAGAGTTGAAAACAGGTTGCAGGATGAAGACATGCATATTGGAGAGCATGGTGGTGTTCATGATTGGGATTGACTTGTTAACAACCACCTGCTCCGCTAATGACAAGGACGATGAGGAACATAGGGACAACATACCCTGGGAAAACGCCAAGGCTCAAACAGAAAACAGGGCAAGGAAGCCTTTGTGTTTCACTCTGCATGACGAATAGAACCAGCATGAAGAGTCATTAAATATTGCTCCTATGATTTCTATATTGTATTTCATATTAGACATTGGAGGTTAATAAGCAAGCATGCAGGGTGTTTTGCTTTCCATTGTACATAATTGTAGTGTGCTCAAGATGCTCCTTTACAAACTTCACAAGGTGTGCCTTTGCTATGTAATTTTGCCTGGTAGATTTCAGTGCTGTAGATGATTACAGAGATGAATTCATTGTGTATTGTAAGTATAATTTAAGCTCAGAATGTTGGATTTATATGGGATTTCTGAGTAAGCTGTAGAGATTTATTATTGGACTTATTACATTTTCAACTACTTAACTAATACTAATTTGATGAATTTCATTGTACGCTTTTTGCTCTGTAACTTCATTTGATGCTATAGTTTAAGACATGATGTCAACGTTTTTTATAGGGTGTCTTTTTTTTTTTTTACACCACCATTGTTTGTAAATTTTCCTAGAAGTCTGAAAAATAAAATTATTTTCCAACTGGTTTTGTCCTTTTCCATCTGACAAGTATTGGCTTGAGTTTTGCTTTGCTTTTTGTCCCCTGACCTTCATCTCCTTGCAAGTTGAATTAATATGGAATGTTTATGGCTGTCTCTTCATACTACTTAGCATAATACTCAAATGACTGTTGACAGCTCGAAATGTGCCTATTTGTAGGAATTACATTTATGTATGTCTGGGCCATGCTAAACTCATATTTATGTCAGTGGGAGTTCTTATTTATGTAGAAATATAGTCTTGATTACTGCTTTGGTAGTTAACTTGCCATGATAGAGAGGAAAAGAACTTGTCAGTTTGTGTGTGGCTGTATTGGTATTCAGCCACCTACTTTAGTTGATCTTTTTAAAATACCAAAACCTCCTGGGAGATAATGCTCCCAAATTAGGAGCTGATCTACTCAAATCCTCTCAGAGGTACTTGTATGGTTCTTGCTACCACAGTAGCTGTATGCCTCAATCTTTGAATCTTCCAGCATATCTGTAGTAAGTGGAAAGGTGGAAATGTTGTGGTCACGATGGACAAAACAGTTTAGGGGTTTTGTCAGGCAGCAGGATCCACAGTGCTGTGGGGCTAAGAACCCGTCCATACACAGTATCTGGAGAACTGGGCCTTGGGGAGATGTGGATCTTGGTTTAAGCGGGTAGTTGCTTTGATTAGGTGATAGGATATATAACTCTTTTAGTCTGTTTTGTAGAAACCACTTTATTTTGCATTACAACTCTAAAGGAAGACATGCATGTTTGTAGTGTGATCCTTGAGCAGGCTCTTTACTTGTGTATTTAGTCATGCAGCACCATGTCCCCTTCTCAGAGTTTGTTAATCACCTGCAGCCTTGGGGGAGTGCAGAGTCTGTGTAGATCTAGAGCAACTATAAATATCTGTGTGTCCCTTGTGCATTGTAGACCAGGGAGAGACTAAGCCTAGAGAGAAGCAAGGCTGATGTGTTCTCAGGTAGAGAAGGGGCTTGAAGTTTAAAGAGCATCCTCCACTGAGGTCTTTTTTGAGGTCTTGCCTGGACCGATTTTACCAGGGTCATGAGCAGCCTGTAATTGGGTTGGGAATATAGCCTTGGTATTCCAAATCCCATACAAACCCCTTAACCCTGGAGTCAGCTGGTGTGTATCCTTTCATTGCAGATGCTGCTTTTGAAAGTGGTGAAAGAAAAGGGCTATAAGGTCTTACCTTGTATAGTGAGATTTGAGAAATAGCAGCCTCAAGATGACATGGCCACATCTGTATAACTGAGAATATTTTAACTTTTTTTGGCTTTTAGTCCTTCTCTAATGTAGTATTAAAGCAGATACTAAAGAAATCACACTATATTGTTATCTATCTACAACTTTGTTGTAACTATTTTTTTCAGTTGGTGTCATTACCTCTTTCCCCATGAGACCAAACACCTTATGTGTTTATCTTGTAGTGTGTTTATTGCCATGCTTTCTCTGAAAGTGTAGGAATGATTATTTGTAATTGCACACCTTTTACATCTCTTTTTAAGGATTTTCTTTTTACAGTATTGATGTGTGATGCTGTAACATTTTATGCTTCCTTCCACCTTAAAAAAAGCTAAAGGCTGTCTAAATTCTCAGCTGAGAAGGATGCATTTGTCATCTTCTGCAGCATTGTTGCTACTTGTATTTCTGCTCTAATCTGAGAGCTCTGGGCAGCTGGGAACACACATACTATTAAAACTATAACAGGAACAGTTTGCATCTCAGAGGAATCAGGAAGTCAGTTCTCAGTATTGACCCCAGCGATGGTGTGTTTGTGAGGCTCTTGTGTACTTTGATAACCCTTGATTCTGGGTCTTACTGGCTTTTGGCATGAATTAGAAAACTTGCTCTTGTGCTCTCTTCTTTTCAGATTTAATTCCAATTGTTTTTCTTTGAGTCTTGACATTAACCTGCAGTGACATCTTCCATCACGTGTGTCAGCACTAAATAAGGTGTCTGCACTGGACAATGATTTGGCAATCTGGCATTTTACTTACACTATAGTTACTGTAAAAGGCTCTGAAGGCTCTGAAATTTTTTGAAAGT